CCCATATGCAGCTGCTATGCAAAAGTTGGTGTGGTTTGGGTTCACGCCATGGTAAGGAACAGACCCGTTTAAACGTTGCAAGCCAATTTCGTATCTATGTTCAGTCATGCTCTTCTGGGGACTGAGAGTGGAGGCGCTACCTGAGCAGTAGGAATTGCAGGCATCGCGCGGTCCGAGGTGGTCGCTGCAGTTGCGTAGGAAAAGGTGAAGCTGTCTCGCACGTGTCCGAGTCAGTGCAGCTTGGCACGGACGGTAGATGTTGGAGTTCGTCGTTTACGCCCAAGTACTGTCAGCATGTGTTGAGGGGTGGGGTGAGGGGCGAAATGAAGCATTGGGTTGCGGCGACGTATCACTTGCAGCAAAAACGGTCCTGCGCGAATGATGCAATCCGCACCCACATGTTTCAAAGCGCATGTGTCGGTCGAGGGTGGATTTTATGATTGATGTGCAATAGGCTTGGCACAAATTTCCATCCTAGCGGGTAGTATTTGAACGGTATGGCACACATGTGAGCGGCCGTGCGACCGCGAAGTCGTAGCCGCGTTCGATGATTCAATTGGTAAACAAGGAATGACGGTGAGGCTGCAAGTGGAGGATGGAACACGTGTTGGATTTGCCGCGGTAAAGCGTCGGAGGCATAGACTAGAAAGACGGTACAGCGAGAGGCCAAAATTGCGGAAGCACAACATTCCATGACGCGGTGCGGCCACAATCCACCAAGTAACATATGAATCCGCTTGTTGTGGCAATGATGCGCAATCGTAACCTTTACTGTGAACATTGGCCTACATGATTCCTTTGACCGCCGCTCGTCGCTGCAAAATTGGTCGGTCAGGGTCCACGTCAGCATGGGCCAGAGCTTCAGTGGGCCAGAGGCTTATTTGATGCCTTTCGGAGTCGCTTGGGATGTCTAATGAAGGCCTCTTGGAGGTATCTGACGGCGTTTGGGGGCCCTCTTGGTGGTCGGGGCCTCTTGTGGGCCTCACGAAGCCTCTGAAAAGCCTCTCGGGCGCCTCTTCGGCACCTCTTGGGAGCCCTTCGGGCCGGACTGGGGCCATCTTAGAGGCCAGCGATTAACAAAGGGGGAAGGCGGCATCACGTAGTTTCGCCCCCACAGAAGGCCCAGATTGGCCCAAAATGTTTGGAATTATAATGATGGGTGTTTTCCCGCCTCCAGACCCGCGGGGAGGGGAGGGGTCAAGCTACTCCCCCGAAGAACGGCCGTCTCGTTCATTCCCACCCCGAGTCTCAGAATAGGCATGTGCCGCCAGAGCAGACGCCAGCCAGGTGTGCGACCCCCGCGAGGTGCGCAGCGCGTGCCAGAGCACGCTCATTATCCCTTTTAAAAATAATATGCAAAATTGATCGCGGAGCGCGCGCGCACGTTCCCAGGTTATTTGCCGCAACGTGCACGTTGTATTGTTATTTGCTTTTTATTTGGACGGTGGAGTGGGCTTGCAATTGTGGGAGGAAATCTGTTCCCACCCATCGTCCTGGTCCAAAAGACAATACAAGGTGTTCGCGAGGCACCCGAACATAAGTCGGATTTTGCCGCGAAGTGCTCTTAGCATGTGTCCGTTTAAAGGGATTGTGGGGGGTCGTCATCGTTTCGGGTTTCCCGTTGGTGTGGGAAGCGTTGCACATGTCCTTAAAAACTTGTCTGAAGAAACTGGCACGTGCGCGGCCTGATCCAACGTCGGTGGGGCGGCGTTGTATTTGGTTACCTCCCGCGGCATCCCGCTGCCTCTAGAAAGTGAATTGCCGGCTCTGGAATCGGTTGGGCGTCGTGGCATCCCGCTGTATTCCGTTTTTGTTCGTCTGATTAGTTGTTCATCGGTTTGCATGTGCACTCGTTGCAGAATTAGGTGTTTATTAACCAACATCATAGTGAAGGAACGTTATGCTTACGAGGAGGGGGGGGAGCAGTTGTCTGGGCGTTCTAAATGTTTGTCTGCTGGGGGGGGGGGGGGGCAGTTCCGACGTGGCCAAGTATTGTCCCATGCAAGCGCCCACGAAATGCGTTCTCTCCAAGGCGCCCAAGAAAAGATATCCCGGTGATATGCGCTCAGACATTGCCGCAAACATTGTTGATGACTTACATGTGTTTTGGAAGTACGCAGTACCCGACGAGAATTACCTTGCAAAGGAACTTACCATGTTCTCTATTGCTTTAGGTCCATCTCTAAAAGATGACGCACACATCGCCGAAGATTACGCCAATCTCGGCAGACAGCTGATGCGAGACACGAGGTTCAATCTCCCTGATCACCCTTCTCTCTTCCATCTGCCCCCAGACGCGAGCGACGAAGACTCTCATTCTGCCTTCTCTCAACTTGTTCCCCTTCTTCTGTCTACCCCACCGGCCAGAATTCGAGGGCACCCACCCTCCACGGGCGCGGCCCCTGTGCCATCACCCCCTCCCCTCCTACAATGGTTGGTTGCTGCATCACCCCCTCCATATTCACATGAGCAATAACCGTTGTAGACACACCGCTGGTTCCCAGAGTTCGCAGAGACCTTCCCCTTCCCGTTCCTCCTGATCCTCCTCCTTCGATTCCTCATCCATCCCCCCCTCTTAGCGCACGACGGCTACCCCCGCCTTGTATACCACTGCATGCTCCTCCACATCCCCGATCAGGGCAACTCGCCTGGGCATCGTGTTTGGATGGGCTGGTGGGGCGTGGTTTCGCGAAGCGTTTAGAATATGTTGTGTTCCAGGGCGGATGGGGGGCGTGGCTTGCGGTCGCTACGAGATCAGCCATTGGCGATTTCTGGATGCCCTAGGTGAGCAGTTTCTGGTCATCCGACCAAAACCCCGCCAGCCGCAGCCTCAATGCTCAAACAATTCAAACAATGCGTTTACGAAAACGGGCCCACGTGGAACACATTGCGGGAGTTTGTGGCCAGCAAGCGGCAGGTCGAGCAAGATGAGGCGGCAAACCTTCCACTGCGGCCAGAGATTTTTCAATGAGTGAAACCCGGCCCGATCGACAACCATGTTGACGCAGAAAAAATCGTCGATTCCATGCAGAAGCATTTCTGGAACAAGTCGTGTTCTTTTAGCTGTTGCGAGACTGAACGCACCGTTCGTATGTCTTGTCAGCATTCCAGGATTGCGGTGCATTCTTTGGGGTGATTACATCTGAACTTGAATTGATGTCTCCATCCACCACCGACTTCGGCGGGCACTACGCCAAGACAGATGCACGACGGTTGGATGGTTTGGGAGACCACGCATCAGCGCCTCCAAAACGGACGCCTCAAAATACGATCCATCCCAGTGGTGCAGAGATCCAACGACACTGGACGCCGTGCGAGATGCGTTGCGTGCGATACCGTGTTTCTAATGGACGAAAGGACAGACGGAACGAGCAAGGAAAAAATGTCTGGCAAGATTCGACACCGTCGGCGGTCTGCTTTGATCGTGCCGTTTGCATGCGCGATTGCGAAATATGATGCGACAATTTTTTCGTACGATGATTTTCTGATGATATTGAATAGCATGTTGGCATTTACTGGCAACCCATTACCGTGCACGGGGACTGTTGTAACTTTCCGACATGTAACAGCGCACAATGTTGGAGGTGTTGCCCACGATTGGTTTGTCAACAGTTCCAAGCTAACCAGATGCGTGCAAGGACAGATCTTCAACATGATTTACAAGACAAGACCTCCACAGCCCTATGGCGGCACGGTTTTCCTGGCTTGCGCGCGCGGGCCTCCCAGCCGGCGTGTCAAGTCTCCGGGGAGCTCCGGCAGCACAAAAGGAAGCAAGAGAAGGCAAAACCGAGAGGATGGATCTGAAAGGGCCTCAAGGCCAGCCCAAAGACCTCCAGTGCGGCTCAGACGGAGCCACACGGCCGCCCACCCGCCCCGAAAAGGGGCCCGAGACGGCCCTCCGAGAGGTCCCGGGAGGTCTGAGAGGTATCGCCCCAGGACGGCCCAAAGGAGCGCGGAGAGAATCCAAGAAGGGCCCATGCCAGCCCCAGGCGGGCCCAAGACAGTTCAGGAGGGCCCCAAGACGCGCCAGCAGTGCGCAAGAGGGGCCCAATATTGCGCAAGGAGGCCCCGAAGATGGTCCCAAAACAGCTTGAAGACAGCCTCAAGAGACCCTCCAGACGGCCCATGGGGGCCCAGGATGGCTCCAAAACGATCGAAGAGAACTTCAACATGGCCCCCAGAGACCCCCAAGCCGGTTCAAAGTGGGGGCCCGAAATACATTTTCCAAGCGGACCCACCCGCATGCGTCCAAGCATTGTTGGAAGTCGCCGGGACGCTTCCCAAGATTGCGCCCTCCAGGGCGGCCCTAAGATAGCTTGAGTGGATGGTGGGAGGTGGGTCCAAGAGACTGACTTGGCCTAGAGTTATTTGAACTGACTTGGCTTGGAGTTATTTGGACATTTGCGGGCCCCGTGCGGATCTTCCAGATTGGTTTTCAATCACTTCGGATGCATTGACATATTTGCTTCCTCCGTTCGCTCAATTTGCAAGAGTATGCCATGTATCAACATGTCCTGCCCCACGTGTTTAAGTATTCCGCATCCCGTCCGCGCCACATGTTGCCCCATAAGCTTGCTGTGAACGAAGCAGGGTGGCAATCGAAACTAACAGAACGTTCGTTCGGTGGACAGGAGATTTGGGGAATAGCTTGCTTTGTGGGAAATAAGGCTAGCGAGCAGGGAAGTCGAGATAGAAGAAAACGCACCGTAATCTTTCAAGAAATAGGGGTTCCACTTTGGAACCGACAAAGCAAGGCGGGAAAGAAGAACTATCACAAATACGTACATTTGTTTCACATAGCCTGTCTGCACGAGATAGCTGCTCATGGAATGGATATTCTCGATGATTAGCCATGTGTCGAAAAGAAGCGAACCAGGAATCCGTAGCCAATTTGGCTCAGGCGATATTTGGCTCAAGCCAGTCTGGCTCTGGCCCCTCTCCTGCGAAGCGCTGTTGCCCAGCGCTGGCCCCGAGCCCCCTGCAAGGGGCCAGCAGACAGCATGCGGGCCGTGGCCTTTGCGGTCGCCTGCGCCTGGCGTGCCCGGGCAGGCCCTCCGACGGAAGCATTCATGGTCACGGCGCCCATGGCTTCGGGCGGCTCGGAGATCGACATGACCATTTGGCAGACGGCATTCACATCGTCCACTTCGAAGACCCACGATTCCCATGCGCACGTGAACGTGCATCTGGTCAAGGTTTCCAACCCTTTCGACCGCGTAGCGGTGGTGCCCCCGCTTCCCGGCGGATGCGGAACGATTTCCTACGTGCCGGACACGGCGGCGTTGTACAATCCCAGCTGCATCTTGGCCACGGACGCTGGTTACTATAATTTGATCGACACGATCCAATGTATTGGCAACGTTGTAAGTGATGGCGGGATCCATTACACTGAGTCCATGAATACCACCAACGCGAATTTCGGAGTCCTCAAGAACGGTAGCTTCGACATTGGTTAGATTTCGCCAGAGACCGTAAAGACTGGGATTTTCGAGCACTTGGTGGGTGGACTGGGCTGGATCGTGCGTAACGGATCAAACAACGTGGATGCCGGGTGGGAGGAGGCCTATGCCGCTGCGGGCTCGAGCGGGGACGAGTGTAAAGAAATGACCTCCGGGCGAACCATTATCGGTTAAAACAAGAATGGTGGGCTCATCCTCTTCCACTATGATGGTCACACGGGCGCCCCGTCTTGGGGTGCGACAATGAATGAGTTGGCCGACAAGATGATCAGCTTCGGTGCCGTCGAGGCGATCAATCTGGACGGCGGCGGCAGCACCCAGATGTGGAAGAACGGCGTGCAGATTGGCTACAGCTCAGATCGCAACACTTACGGGGTGCTAGCCGGGACTTACGAGCCAGGTTGCCCCATCGGCGAGGGAAAGGGCAATTTGAGTGCCTTCGAGTGCGCGCGCAAGATCAGCACCATCATCTGCATCCACGAGGCCAATAGCGGCTTAACGTCGTTCCTCGCATCCCCGAGAACGCAGGCGGGGTCGCAGGTCTCGGCTCTGTCGCTCGGAACCCTGGTCGTCGGATTGTGCTTGGGCGCCGCCATCGGCGCGGTCGCCTCGAAAATGTGGAGCAAGAAAGAAGGTAAAGGCGTCGATCTGAACGGGGACGACTCAGTGAAACGGGGTAGCTCAACTTCTTCCCGCGCGAAGACGATGCTTCAGAGTGCGATGGGTGAGTCGACGGGCTTACAGCAGGCCTGCTCCTCAAAGGCACAGGAGATGACCGTTCTCTCGCTCCCCCCCTCCGTATTCCAGGTTTCCGTTCGCTTCTGCACCATGCTGCACCATCGCAGTTGCTTGGTTACTCTCTGCAAAGCTACTGCAGCCACCGCGTGTGGGTTATTTCTCTTAACTCAGTGCCGCCAGCCATGGAATTTTGTTGCTCTCCGTCGACTGGCCGCGGCAAGACGAGTCGTTGCGTGCCTTCAGGCTGCCAGCCACTTAGCACGCTTGTGACTTTGAGCGCTAGGTGACCACTGGATGGGGCAACGCTGGGAAGATCATGTCACCACCGACATTCGGCATGCTAGAATTCCTCGAACTCCCCCAGCACTCCACCCTGCATTGCAATGTCGCGCCTCCGGCGCGTTGCTTCGTGCATTACGTCCATCTATTTGCCAGCGGCATCTCAAGAAATCCGGAAGATCTCCGAGGAAGAAAGGGGAGAGAGAGAGAGAGAGAAAAAAAAAAAAAAACAAAAAAAAAAAAAAACGTACGTCGCGTCGGACAGGTGGGTTGGATAAGTTGCCGCCTTGCACGGTCTGAAGTACACAGGGGGCCATGAAAACAATGGAAAAAGTATGACAAGAGGTTGTTTCGATGCACTTACGACAAACAAGGTGGTGTTCATAATTTTCAGCTTCATTGCGCCCCTGCCTTGGCTACTCCTTAGCCATTTTCCTGCACGTGTCGCCTATGTTGTTTTCGGATTGTTTTTTTCCCGCACGAAGCAGCAGCTTGTTTATTGCGATTTGCAGTCACTGGCCCTGGGGCCAGTTGGCCTGGGCTGTTGCGATTTTCCGTGGCTGGACATACGTCTTGCGAGCATGGTTCCACGAGAAGATTCTTCAATACAACCACGAGCATTCTAATGTGGCCCGAACCTGGACGCGCAGGGCAGCTTTGGAGGAGGGGCAGATTGGTATTCCGCTGCGCTCGCAGGTTTCCGTTTCGTTCTGCGATGTCGATGTTGTTCAAAGGTTATTGTTATCATGCGGTAGGTTTCGATTTCAGACGATGCGGTTTCGGTTTCGCACGAAAAGATTTCAGTTGTTTTGTGTGTTCGTCTCTTCCCCTCATTTGTTCTTCTCTCCACTTCCCCCCTCCTCCTTTTCTCTTCTCCCCTCTCTTGCTGTTGACAACGAAACAATCTGAATAGTATTCCCCCTCCTCCCATGAGATTGTCCTGTAGACCTCCCGCCCCTTCTGTGTTTTTTTCCTGCACACCTGCTTTCACAAGGTTTTTACTATCGAAGTGTTGTCGGTGTTT